AATTAATCTTAACACTATCAGATAAAATTTTTTCCATTTCCATAAAATGTTTAGTTCTTCACGAATAGGAAATTATTTTGGAACATCTAATTAGTATTAATTAATCATGTATAATGTATTAAAATAATACGTCTCAGGCACTAATTGCTAACATATATTTATCTATGTATCTAATAATATAAACTGATTTACTGGTACATGTAAAATGCCAATACCAAACATCAACTTATTAATCATAATAAAAATACAAAAAATCGCTTAAAATATAAAAAATAAAATTAAAAAACTCCAATATACCTACAAACTAGTACGAAATAATAAAAATACTATACATTATCTTTCCAATGAACAGTATAAGTCGAAATTTGAATAAAACAATCACGAATTCTCGGTTTATTAAAAATCTAAGAATTTATATTTAATAGATTTAGAAGTATTTGACTGCCGTAAAACATCAAATATTTCACTCAAACAATAGAAGGAATCTATATGCTTTGCTTAGAGATAATCATTAAACATTTAATCAAATAACAATAAATAAAAGTGTGAGCTTATAAAGGACTAATTAGTAATATCGACTATAAATATAATACCAACTATTTTGGATCCTTGATTTAAAATGTTGTTTTTTGATCGCAAAGATTGGAGAAATTTTAAAACTGATTTAGACATTATTATTATTATTAAACATTATTATCTAAAGAAGTATAAACATGAGAAAAAACATATAGCACTTCTAAAATTCTTTTTCATAACAAAAAAGAAAAAAGACTTAAAAAGAATCATGTCCTAAATAGATTATTAATTAATACTACATTAGAATATTTGTTATTTTATTTGTTTTTAATATATAAGAATAAAAAAATAGAAAAAATTGATAGAAATAGCACAAACATAACAATGAATTATAACAAATTTTACTTTTAATACAATAATGAAATTGACGCAAATTTAGTATTAATAAATTTTAAATAATAAAAATAATTAAATTTATTGATAGTTTTAAAAGTATTTGTAACAATTTACAAATATAAAATTATTAAATAATATATAAAAATTCTTATTATTTTGAATATAAATTAGATAATTTTTGATTTTTAACAAATTTGATTTTACTTGAAGGTTAAACATTGAGGAAAAAAATTAATATGGTAAATTAATATAAAATCAATTGTTGGAAGATTCGATGAAATTTATATGTATATAAAAAACCCGAAAGCGCGAGTCCAGAAAACGAAGAGGAGATAGAAAAGTATCAGGTTGCCATACAAAACTTCTGGGAGATTTAACTATTTGAATTTATTATTTAATTTAATGAAATGATTACTAATAAAGTATGTAATTTTATACACAAAATAACTTTAAATGTTTTAATTAACAAAAACGAAATTCTAAAGGAGATAGTTTTCAATCTCAGATTAAGGATTATATAATTTGAATTAATAAAAAACTGTCGTTATATTTTCATTGATAATTTTATTATGATTTTATACAGATAAATATTATTTATGCTGTTATTATGAAAAATTGTTATAATATATGCAGTAAAAATATATATTTAAAAATTATTTTTTTGAGTATAAATCAGGGTTTCGATCTCGAATTTTTAAAAATCCGCAAATTTGATCGAAAAAATCCGCATTTTATATAAAAATCCGCAAAAAATTATCAAACACAAAAATTGGAAGATCAAGGACACAGATTCCTTCCTTTATGCGCCGCAGGCGAAAATTTTGAGGATTTTAGACTGTCTTAGCGGAAAAATAATGACATTTTTGCTAAAAACCACAAGAAAATATAAAAAATCCTCATAATCTTCAAAAGACCACAAAAATCCGCAAATCCGCATTTTTAAAAATAATCCTCATCGCCCTATCAAAAAACCACAAAATAAGGAAAAATCCGCAGATATCGAAACCCTGGTATAAATTAATTTTAATATAATACTTGAGTGTGGACACTTAATGAATTGTATTGAATGTAAGAAGCAGTCTATGAATATAATATTTTTTATTAAAACTTTCGGATAGATTAATAAATATACTCTTAAAGTAAAAATTAGAGAAATTTTAAGTATATTTAATAGTTGTTTAAAAAATATTATACTATTATAATTATAATCTCAATTAATTTAAAGCAAATATAATGTTCACATTGTCACAGCTGCATACATAAAAATTTTATTTTTGATAATTATTAGTTTTACACTTATACATATGTTTCTAAAATTTTATTTATCATACACTGCGGTGCATATGTTTATGCACACTAGTTTTTTGTTCATAAGTTTATGCACACTTATTCAAAAAATATGTTCTATATGTCAATCGAAAGCTCTATTTGTATCTCAGTTGACATGTTTCTGCATTTTTCGAAATTCTGACATTTTCGAAAACTTTTCGACCGGTCTAACAGGTACTACATTTTCAACTTTTCGAAGAAATTTTTTTGAGGTCTGTAAAAAATATATGTGATTCTCCTCTAGATTCTACATATAATACAAAAAAATCATCCAAATCGGTCGAGATTCGACTGAGTTATGAATTTTTGAAAATCGAAAAAATACCATATTTTTGCCATTTTTCGTCAAAAAATCGCTTTTTTTCGATTTTCAAAAAATGATATCTCCGTTCCGGAAAAAGATATTTCTAAGCGGTTTTTTGGTAAATACTCACAAAAATATGCTTTATCAAATGGGGTTGTTAAATTTTTTCCGAAAAATTTTTCCGAGGATATGGGATTTGGTATATCCGGTAGATCCGGATTATCTCGGCCAATTTTCAATTTCATGAAAAATGCAGAAACATGTCAACTGAGATGCAAATAGAGCTTTCGATTTTTTGAATAAGATTGCATAAAATTATGAACAAAAAACTAGTGTGCATAAACATATGCACCGCAGTGTATTTCATTTTTTTAATTTAAAGAAATACAGGATATGGTGAGTATCATTGATACTTTAATATGTTATTACTATTATATTACATTCGGGCCCACAAAGGCCCAAAAGTTGCACGAAGATGTTTAGACTCCGAAAAATTACATTTAATATATTTATATTAAATTTAATACATTTTATGATGAAATTTATTTTATTTGCATATAAATTTTATTTAGGAAATTATAAAAAAATTGCAAATATAAAAAATTGGAATATATTAAGAAAGAGACATTTAAATTTTCAAACAAATTCTATTTTAAATTTTTAAAGCTATTTTATTTATTTTTGGAATAAACTTGTACAGTAACCAAATTGATGGTACATAATTATTTATTGAAAATATAAATAAAATTTTATAAATTTAAGATATTTTAATTTGTTTAGAATAGCAAATACTTATAAAAACATTTTATATCATAAAATATTTAAGAAATGAATGAAATAATTAAAATAAGATCTTATAAAACTTAACATTTTAAAAATGTAAAAAATTACTACAAAATACAATTATAAATTTCTTGTAAACGATGGATCATGTAATGGCACACGATTACAAGTTATTGATGCATAGTTATATTTAAATATTTAATAATTTGTTTAATTATATGAAATAATCTATAATAATTAAGAAAAAAAATATAATTACTAAATGAAATAATTCTAAATAATTCAATAGTATGATAATTTTAAATATGTATCTTGTGGTTGGTATTTTAAAGAAGAATATTAACAAGGAAAAAACAAAAGAAAATTTTTTATAATAATAACTATATTTACTCCTGTTAAATGATGTATTTGCCATGGTTTTATACTAATGTTCACATTGTAGTTTTTATAGTAAAACATAACTAATTTTTTAAGTCTAAATTACAGAGCTGTTCTAACAACACAAAAACAGCTGGGACTAAAAGTTTTCGATGATAGAAAATATAAACAATTGTAATATATAGCAATAAAATAAAAAAATATTTGACAAGTTATAAGAGTGCATAGATTAGATACATATATAAAGTAAAATTCTCCCACACATTCCTCCCAAACATTTAGTGTTGATCTTTTGGAAAGAATTTTTCTTTTTCTTTCTTTTTACGAAAACTAAACTAGAAAGTCAAGCAACGCTTACTTATTGATTCACGTACACAACAACAACTTTCACTTATTACTAAACAGTTTCTTCAAATTTTTTTTATTTAAAATTAATTAGATATTGCTATACTTTAATTGGTTTAATAATTAATTGAAACTTCTTCTGTAAAAAGAGACTTCTCCTATATAAAAATGGAAAAATTAAAATTTATCGTCTTCTAAACTATAAAAAATAAATTTTTACCCAATATAATTACTGATTTTTTTACATTTTTAATCTACTTATAATAAAATCAACAACAAAAAATGAACAAGAGAAAATACTTTATACACTGCGGGGATCAATAAACCAAATCGCTTTAATATCGTAGAAATAGAAATGAAAGTATTTATTAATTCAGAAGATAAATCTTGAGAACAATTGCGTGATATAATATTTATAAATCAAAGAAAAACTTCGTTTATATAAATTAACTCTTTGAAAAAAATTTTCGATTTAGATTTTTGTTCCGATGACATAATGTCGATTCTTAATTTTTATTTGGCTGAACGATATATTTTAGATAATCTACCAATACTATATATTGAAATAAGCCAGTTTAATAAAATAAATAGATTGATAGCAGAATAAAAAATTATTAATAAATGTAAATAAATTTAATATTTAAACGAACTTCTTATTTAATCATTTTTATCAAATATAAAATACCGTATTTCTTAAAATAAAGCCCCATGCTAATTAGTGCCCCACTCTTGGCTCGAAATGAGTTTGAAGTTACTCGGGACAGAAAGAATTGGAATGTTGGTCGAATTAATCCCCAGGCAATAATCAAGGAAATTGATTTCATTCATCATGCGAACAGAAGAGACTTTCCTGGTGTTGTAATAAGTTTGAAGCGAGGTGGCAAATATAACAGCTTGTTGTGTTGTTTAGTCATTTCGGCAGGTTTACAAGTCTGTTCAAAATGCTATAGGAGACAGTTAGTAGATTTGGACTTGGATGAACTAGAAATTGGACAGTTGGTGACGGTTTCTGTTGCTGAAATTCCTGAACAATGTTTAGTCATGAAGCTTACCTTCTTCCGCCACAATCAGAGTTCAAAATGGGGTCTGAGGAAATGTTAAGAGATGATTTTGGTGTCCTCGGAACTGTACGTTCTCACTTACCGTGGCATTACAAACGCGATGGTAAAAATGTCTTTTATCCGTTAGTTCCACAAATGTCCATTGAGGAAGTCGAACTTTGTGAAAGCATAATCAGTGCTGCAATTGCCTATTCGTTGGAAGATGAAAGAAAGAAAATTATTGAAAATCGATTTGAAGGCGCAGCATTATATTGGGACAAACAATTCTACTTGAAGTTTTCTGAAATTGACTCTATAAAAGTGAAAAATTTAAAAAGTGTTTGGGCAGTTGATGATCAAGTTGAACTCAAATCTAGTATGCAACATCCTCATTTTGGTCTTGGAGTGGTCAAGAAAATTGAAACGGAAAATGTCAGGTCCTTCGGGAATCTCAAATTTAATTTTAGTGTAGTGATAAGAGTTTTGAATGTTCAAGAACGTAAAAATCGAGATACAGAAGAAGAATTTTTGAATGCACAAGATGGTGGTCTGTTTGTAGTACATCCAAAAATAATAAAGGGTAGTGAAAGTCGTCGAACTTGCTTTTCAGCTAATATGCCGTCTCGTCTTTCGTTGTTGGACACAAAGCAGGGTCAATTAATGAAAGCTCTTTTGGCACGTGAATTTGAAATAGTAGATTTGGAAGATGTCCACGAGCCATTAAATCCTCACCCTCTAATGAGGTTATTAAATGAAAGACAGAAAGAAACGGTAAACAGTTTGCTCTCTGTGGGGTGCAAGCTGGTTTACCAGCAAGCACCCCCCGGAGTGGGAAAAACCTTCTGTGCAGCAGTAGTTACAGCAATTCTTCTCCATAGTCTCACCAATGCTAAAATTGCCATCATTACGTCTGCTAATTTGCCTTTAGCCAAACTCGCTAAAGTACTTGAGAATGTGTTATCACCCGAAGAAATGGAAGAATCGAGGGCAATCACCTTTTTCTCGGGTTTCGCCAAAGATCGTTACAAAGAAATGATAAATGAGTTGAGACGTCACATGCTTATCACGAAACTTAAATTAGAAGAAATTAATGAAAAATTGGATAATAATGCAAAACAGGATGTGAACGAGTACTGTGAAAATTTTGAAACGCGTCCTCGTTTGACTAGTGAAGTGAAACTGGGCTCGATGCTTTCTGAACTTGTAAATCTGAAAATAGTCTTTTCGACAGCAGCGATGGCCGAAAATATGCTCTACTCGTCTTTGCTTGACACAACAGTCCTCATTGTAGATGAAACAACCCAGACGAGCTTCGCTGAAATAACAAATCTTATTGCCAGATTACCGAATTTGGAAAAGATTCTCATAACTGGCGATAAATTTCAAATTGGGACTCATCTGCAAGATTTACCTAAATCGCTTCACGATGGGTTTGGTCTTGACTCGATTGTTCCGCAGTTACTCATCTTACCGTCAGTCCACCAAACTCGTCTTTCTGTTTGTTACCGCATGCATCCTTTACTAGTGTTGTGTGTGTCGTATGCTGCCTATGAAATACATAATGAACCATTAGAGCCTGGACGTTCTGCAGATGAAAGAGCGTTCTTGACGAATTCTCGGTTTCCGCTGCCTATGCAAAGTTGTCCAATAGTGCTACTCAATGTCGTTGGTTCGTGTCGGCAAGATGTAGTTTCTCATAGTCTCACAAATGATTTGCAAACGACTTCGGTTGTCACACTCGTCTCATCATTGTATGAATACATTTCGCCTGAAGTAAATGTTGTGGTGATTTGTCTTTATCTTTTTCAAAAAGAATGCTTACAAATCGAATTTGAAAAACTTGGATATAATGTACTCACTGTGTCGGTAGATGGTTATCAATCAATGGAAGCGGATCTTATTATACTAGTGACTACTCGCTCTCATAGTACTGATAGTAACTCAACGGACTCCTCTGAATTCTTTTCTGATGAAAATCGTAGTACTGTAGCGCTAAGTCGAAGCAAACATGGTCTCTTTCTAGTAGGAGATATTGAGTTGCTTAAATCTGGAAGAGTTTGGTCAAGGTTTATAGAAAAGGCTACAGAATTTACTTCAGTGGTAGGAACTAATTATTTAAATATTTTACAGTCAGGTCGAGTCAAAAGAGACAGATTTGGTCAAATTCTCTCCATGGAGGGTCAAAACGTATGTCAAAATGTTGAAAATTTTAATTTTCAGGATCGATCCAATGACTCATGGAGAAATTATGGTCAAGGAACAAGCAGTGGTAACAGGTACCAAGAAGAATGGTTTGTAAATAAAAATAAAAATTTTGAAAATACAAATAATAACAATTTCAATTTTAGGAAACGTCCATTTGCGAGCAACAATTGGAAAATGTATACTGGAAAAACTTTTGTACGCTCGGATTGCTGTTACAATTGTGGTCAATATGGTCATATTTCAAAAGACTGCAATTCATGGCGTGGTGGTAGAGGAAAGCCATTTTAATTTTTATTAAAATTTATAAAAAAAAACAATTTTTTTTCAAAGCTCTCATGATATGCTCAACTAATGTTGCACATCAATGGAACAAATGGCTGGAATTTATTTTTGTTTTAATTATTTTTTCTTCTCTAATTTTTTTTAAATCTCAATTTGTTCTCTACCATTAAATTTTTTTTCAATAATTCTTTTGATCTAATAATTTCTCAAAATAGTAACTTAACTATGTAATCTTTTTAAGAAATTTATTTGAAAGATAAGCCTAATTAAATTTTTTTTAATCCGTTAAATTTTTTTTGCCTGAACTAAAAAAATGTGCTTTAAATTCATTATTTTTTGCCTTTAATAATTTTGTTTTTTTTGTTATGATTTAGACTTAGGCTAGCGGAGGTGCTCGCCCGAAGGGCGAGCACCTTCGCTAGTTACCTAAAGTTTACTGTTAGTAGTCCAGTATTATTGATAGGTGATGGAAAAGCTAAAGAATTAAGAAATTTTTAGCGAATAACAAGAAGAAAATGTTTTTAGTTGAAAATGATTTAAGTTTCTGTGACTGGTGGAAGAAAATTGAGGACTACGCTTTTTTAATATCAGTATGCACACAGTAATTATGTATGTATCACCATACTTTTTCTAGTTAAAAACTTCGATATCTGTGTTGGAAGGCGAAAAAGAAGAGTGATCTGGATTGGCATATAAATATGAGTAGTTAAATCCTATAACTTATGAGACGTTTAAACTATAAAAAAGATGTTAAAATTTAAAATAAATAGAAAATTTGTGACATTCGAGTAATTGTGATAATTGATAATAAATTAAAAGATGAAAAATAAAAAGTTAATATTAATAATATACTAGATAGTTTGACATAGAACAATATTATATAAAAGAAGATATTTGATTCAGCTTTTATATATAATTTATTAAAAATTAATTATATATTATCACTCCATTCTATTCTATCGAATCTTATAATAACTTTATTAAAATATAAATATCCAAATTCTTTGCAGAAAAATAAATTTTAATTCTAATTTTAAATTCAAAACTGGTTAATAGAATAATAGCAATACTACAGGGTGCGCCATAAGTAACCGGACACTTGTTTTCTCTCATAACTTTATTAAAACACAATCAAATAAAATCGAAATACAATCAAATGATAGAGAATTAAATAAGGAACAATAATCAAGAAGTTTCGAAATGCCCAATCTTGGCTTTGATACAGAGGCGAAGGCGCGAAGAAAAATTTTCGCAAATAGCACGCACCTCTTTGAGTGTAATTAAGTCCCACTCTCGGGTGAGAGAGCGGCGCAGAGACTCCAAACTTTTTTGAGGCTTAGCACAGGCCCTGATCTCCAAAATAGACCAAAAAGAATAATCCATCGGATTCAAATCGGTGGAGTAGGGCGGCCATTCTGAGCGCTAATCAACCCAGGAAAATTGGCATTGCATCAGTCCTGAACTTCTTTCGCTTTGTGTACCAGAGCAGTGTCCTGTTGGAAAATCCAGACTCTGCGACCACAATGGCTCTTGAACCGAGGCTTATGGCTCTTGAACCGAGGCTTACAATATCATATGAAAATTTAAAATCAATTTCATTCTTTGAAAAATAAATAATTAAATGAATTGGTGATTAAATGTAAAAAAAATGATTAATCTATCACTAATTGAATGAATAGGTTAATTATACATATTTTTTATCAATTTAAATATTTTTTATCATTTTAAATAAAATTTATAATTTATTTTATTTAAAAACATTAATATATTTGTCTATATGCATAATATTCATAACCTAGTTTTTATTATTTTCATAAATCATGACAAGTACAACAATAATTTGTTTTGCGAAAAAATATAAGGTAGAGGAATCATGGAACGTTATTTCCTGATTAAATTGAATATGAAAAAATAAAAATGGAATCGAATTTAAAAGGACTAAACTTTGATGATTAAAGTTTAAAGATGACAATAGTTGTTAAAATAATTTCAATTATTGAATTAGATTTCAATTATTGAATTTAATTTCAATTATTGATCAATTATTGAATTAGAAACTTGAAAATACAGTAAATTAAATAAACATAGATTTTATAACTTAGGGTACAAAGGAGATAAAAATTTCATCAAACAAACCGAAACAAGTTACACGGTCTGTTCAGTACACAAGAGAGGTCTCAAGAAACATGTAGCCTGGGGAGAAGCTGCCGGTAAACTTGATTAGCAAAACCAAAAAAATAAGTTAAATCGAATATGAATAAGTATAATAATAATAAATCATTAAATTCTAGTTTGTTAGCATAACCAAACACATTTTTGGTACCAGAAATGTTAACAAAAGAGAAACTTGGACTGCTACAATAGACTCCAAACTTAAGTTCACGCAAGTGTCGACCCTGACAATATTGTAGGGTGAAGTAAAATTTATCCAACCATTCCTCTTAATGAGTACAAAATATAATCTCAGTAAATTTAACATATTCGATAATTCGGCATTGGAATAGCTTTAAAACAGGAGATATGCTATAAAAGTGTTTCAACTAATATTTTTTATCATTTTCTTACAAAGTTTACAGAAATTTTTATCTGAAGATTAATACAAAAATTAATTTTTTTATTAATATTTTAAAATTTTTGACTCTAAAGAACAATTGTAAGAACTCTAAAGAGCTAGCAGCAAATCTATCCGAATTGTTGAAAAAAGATTTGATTGTATATTGAATTTCGATTCCAATTCATTTTGCCTTCGTTTTACACTCGCAGCACTTTTCGATCCAAATCAAGCCGTGAAGGTTAACTTTTCAATGGATTCCGTTAAATTTTTATTATCTTGCTGCATTGAAATAGATCGCGATTTGTATTTATATAGTATTTTTATTTAATATTAGTCACATTTAATTTTAAATAATTTATACCAATTGACCCATTATAGCTCTAGTGATGCAATATTAAAAAACAAATTCAGTAAACAAAAATTAACGATAAGATATGCAAACTATTTATTTATCTAAAATATAAACAATTTCGAATAAATCATTGAGGGGATTCAAGTTTTTATATTTAAGCACAAGAAATTAAAATAATGCGAGTGTCCCAATTAGGTACCTAATATTGACATATATTTTTGCAATGTTTGAAGAAAATAAATTACTAGAAAACAATATTTTATAAAAATTTGAATTTTACTACTTAAAAAATAAAAAGTTTTACTATAAATAATTTCTAATTTTTATTGAATAAAATTTCAAACATATTCATTTTAAGTATGGTATGAAAATTTGAATTTTATTTATACTTTTAAAGCATCTTCTGTTCAAGTTAATAATAACAATGTTGAGAAGTCCGAACAATCATTTATTCAAATGGTTTTTAAAAAATTCTGTTTTCTAAATAAAAATAAATACTCTATATAAATATAGCAAATAACAACATAAAAAGATGTTTGAATGTGAAAATTTTATTGTGTATAAGTTAACAGATTTTTGTATTTAATATATTAGAAGTGCTTAAAATTTATTTTAAAATAAAGGATAAGCTCAATGATTTATAAATAATGTTAAAAAATATGGGACGGAAATGATGATCAGGAGGAACTATTGAATTAATGTTTGTTTTAGAGTCTAAATTGTGTCCAAACACAGTTAATTGTATACCCTGTTTTTGGATCAGGTCGAATCCCAAAACAGCGCCAAAGCGTTTTGGGACCTAATAATATAACGATATTAAGAATATATATAAAAAAGATAGAGCAATAATAAGAAAATTGAATGTTTTCCGTTATATTTTTATTTTTTAGAAGAACATTTTTGTACATTATTGTAAATAAAACATAATAAATTAAATTAGTCAATTAACTAGAATCAAATTTAAAATAGAAATTTTTAGCAGCAATGCCAGGAAAAATAACGCAAATAGGTTAATTAATTAAAATTTATCATCAGAAAAATAAATTTTTTATTATCTAATCAAATTCTACAAATTTTAACAGTATTATAATAAACCTTTTAAAAGACTGATTTAAGAAATAGAAAATCGATAACAATGATAAAATTGATTTCCTTATTTATTGAGATGTTTATTTTTTAGCATAAGATTTCTCAGGATCGATCACGGCTTCGTACAGTAATAGATTTCTAAAAAATTATACTGCAACAGATTTTTAAACTATTACATTTTTAATAAAAATTGATTATTTAAATATACAACAATAAATATACAAATAACAACATAAAAAAGATGTTTGAATGTGAAAATTTTATTGTGTAGGAGGTAACAGATTTTTGTATTAAATAAATTAGAAGCTTAAAATTAATTAAGGATAAGCTCAATGATTTATAAAATGTTAAAAAATATGGTACGGAAATGACGATATTGTCTTATACGTGTCTCACATAAACAAAGTGGAAGATAATGAGAGATGATTTTCAATGTTAAAGCTAAATTTATGGTAAATAGAAATAAATTATATAGTGAATCAGTGAAGAAAAACAAAATTAAAATTTTAATTAAATAAAGCATAAATAATTACAATTCATTATTAGCAAAATTTTACAATTACAACATTTAAATTTAAAAAATTTTTATAAGAAATATTAATCATGATGAAATTGTGACATATGTATTACTATGTGCATCATCTAAAAATAAGCTTAAAGAAATATTAAATTTATAATAAATTAAATTTTTAATATAGACAATAACTTAAGAGCAAGCATGGAAAGTAAAGATATTTTAATAATTAAACAATTATTATATTTTCATATTAAAATTTCCATATACCCAATTTAACTTATTTCGAATTGATTGAAATTTTAAATATTTTTTAGAAAATAAAAAGTCGAAAAATTAGATAACTGTATAATTAAATATTAATCATATTCATCAAGAGTTGACCGATACATCACAAACATGAAGTTAACCAATATGTCGAAAGAACTAACATGATCGGTGTGTTCAGTTTTCATTTCCTGAGTTCATAACGAAATAGCTAAACCAAATGCAGATTCATAATACTCTCGGCTGTATAAAGCAAGTTTTATTTCATTTATAATAAATTTACAATATTTTTATTGAAAAATAAATTATTTGCCCAATAGTATTCGTAGGCATATCTATAATAAATAATTAAAATAAATAATAATGAAAGAATATATTGAAAAATAAATAATAA